CCTAATCTAAATGCTGGACTCAAAACCCTAACGAAGAAAAGAGAGAAGACAGAACAGGTCAACCAACCATCTCAGCTATGATGGACTATGTCAATCAGTGGATTTTTCAAAGACCTCATAGTGCTTGGAGTGGCAAGACTGACAGCGATTCATAACTGTTGCAATATCAAAACCACTTGAGCAAGAACCTCAGAGCATGCCCTACACCCGGGACTTGGGGAGGTTGGGAAATTGGGTGGGCCTTCTCCCTTAATACCCCCCTTTTAAACATGAAGGTAACAATATGGAAAACATACTAGTATTATCCACTTTCCTGTAGCCCTTGAACCTTCTTACTCTAACTAAGTATGTAAAGAATGTCAAAATAAATTTTATAAAAAAAAAAAAAGAGTTATGGGAGTCTCAGAAGGTGCAGAAAGAGAAACTGGTTTTACAAATCTATTTAATGAAATAAAGGAAAACTTCCCTAATCTAGAGAAAAAATTGGGAAACAACATCCAGGAGGGGCACAGAACTCCCAACAGGCCTGATCAAAAGCAATCTTCACCAAGACACATGATCATCAAGCTCTCTTCAGTCGAACATAAGGAAAAGATCCTGAAATGTGCACGTGAAAAAAATCAATTGACATATAAAGAAATGACAATTAAACGCACAGGAGATCTCTCACAGGAAACTCTACAGGCCAGAAGAGAATGGAGTGGCATATTAAAGATTCTAAAAGAAAAAAATTGTCGGCCTAGGAAAACATATCCAGCAAAGCTTTCTTTTGTCTTTGAAAATGAAATAAAATTCTTCCACAGTAAAGAAAAGTTAAAAGAATTTGCCTCTTCCAAACCTGCCCTACAAATGATACTTCAAGATGTTCTCTTCACAGAGAAGAAGAATAGCACCCACCAAAACAAAAGGCAAATGTGAAGAACATCCCAGTAAAATGACAACAGAAGACTAAACCAATGAACAACCCATTCCTACAATGACAGGACCAAAGTACCACCCATACATATTAACCCTGAATGTAAATGGCTTAAGCTCAATCAAACGTCATAGATTAGTAGACTGGATTAAAAAATAAAACCCATCTATTTGTTGTCTAGAAGAGACACATTTCACCAACAAAAATCAGCAGAAACTATATCGCATGAGTTTTGATGTTTTCTGTTGGTTTCATCTCTTCAAAACACTTTCTTCTGATTAAAGTCTTCAATGACTCATACAGTAGCATCATTTTCTTCAAGAAGGTTCTTGATTTTCATTTCTTCAGCTACACATTAGTCATTTAGTAGCATGTTATTTAACTTTATGGAGTTGTTAATTTCTTTTTTCTTCCTGATGTTGATTTTGTTTTGTGACTTTTCATTTAAGGGGATATTTAGTAGCTGTGTAATGGAGACTGTCATATCTAGTAACATGTCATTTAACTTCATGGCATTGTAATTTTCTATTTTTCTTCCTATTGTTGATTTTGCATTATGACTTTTCATTTGAGGGGATGTACAGCAGTTATGGAATGGAGACTGACATAGATGTGAGGATACTAGGTAGTATGCATCTCTACTTCCAGACAAAGATGGACTTACAATGAAACTGTTTACTATATCTTGACAACAGGATGCTGGACTCTTTGCCATTGTCCATGCCCATAATGATGGACACATGACTGTGTATGAAGAACTATACGTAATGATACAGAGGAACTATGTGGGGGTGGTGAAAATTGGGGCTCGGATAAGGGACCATGAGCCTATGGAACTGTATCATAAAATGATACAAATAATAATAATAAAATGTAAAATGTGAAAAAATAAATACATAATAAGGTTAAAAAAAAGAAGCTACTAGATATTTTTTTAAAAAATATTTACTTTTTGTATTTGAAAGGCAAAGTTACAGAAAGGCAGAGAGGAAGAGAGAGAAAGATCTTCCATTCACTGGTTCACTTCCCAAGTGACAAGGTCTTGGGCTGGTCCCGGCTGAAGCCAGGAGCCTAGAACTCCATCTGGGTCTCCCACATGGATGGCAGGACCCCAGGTATTGGGCCATCTTCTGTGCATTTCCTAGTGCATTAGCAGGGAGCTGATGGAAGAATCTCTTTCCTTCTCTCTGTAATTTAGCCTTTCAAAGACATAAACATTTTCTAACAACAGTTTGAATTGTCAACATATGAATTGGCTTATGTTATTTTACATTTGCAAAAGGAATATCAGTTTTCAAACTCAAAGTTTTAAAGATTAAGTAAAAAAAGTATAAACAGCATGGTGCCTGGTATATGGTAAGCAGTTAGAAACTATTAAAGATGATTTAGGGGGTGTGTAGCACATAGTGTAGTGGGTAAGGCTGCCACCTGCAGAACCAGCATCCCTTATGGGCACTGGTTCAAGTCCTGTCTGCTCCACTTGGGATGTTTATGTGCCCAGAACAGCAGCAAAGAATGGCCAGCTGCTTGGGATCCTGCATCTGCATGGCCGACCTGGAAGAAGCTCCTGCCTTCAGACCAGCCCAGCTCCAGTCACTGTAGCCCTAGGGGAATGAATCAGTGAGTGGAAGATACCACTCTGTTTTCTTTCTCTATGCCCCTCCATTTCTCTCCATGTTAACTCAGCCTTTCAAAAAAAAAAAAAAATCTTAAAAAAAGAAAAAGGGGCATCGGCGTTGTGGCACAGTGGGTTTAGCTGCTGCCTGTGCTGCCAGCATCCCATTATGAGCACAGGTTCAAGTTGCAGTTGTTTCCACTTCTGATCTAGCTCCCTTCTTCCTGGGAAAACAGCAGAAGCTTGGGCCCCTCTCACCCCTATGGGGCACCGCACTGGAGTTCCAGGCTCAGGGTTCAGTCCGGCCTAGCTGCACTCACTAGGCTGTATGGGAAACAAACTAGCAGATAGAAGATTCAGTCTCTCTCTCTCTCTTTCTTTCTGCCTCTCAAGAGAATAAATCTTTTAACAGATAAATTAAAGAAATAAAATATAACATTCAGTATAATAATGAAAATACACCCCTTAACTAAACTGCTTGCCATTACTGTGACATATACAGCACACATGTAACCTGATTTCAATTTTATGGTACTTCTTACAGCATTAGAAGTCTCCATAATGTCTTCCTTAAGTTTACATTCTCACTAAGAGTGTATTAGGTTGCTTCTTCCTCCATGTCCTCACCAGCATTTATTATGTTATTTATTTTTGGATGGCGGCCATTCTAACTACAGTAAAGGGATACACCACATTTGGTTTTAATTTGTGTTTTCTTATTGTCTGGCACTAGAACTTGAGACCATGTCCATTTGGGATGCTGGCACTACAGGTAGCAACTTAACTTGTTATGCACACAGTTAGCCCCATGAGTCGATTGTTGTACAGGGTTAATTTTTTTTTTAAGAGACTGTCCTTTTTCCAGAGTGGTTTTAGCTCATTTGTTAAAGGCTACATGCCTGTAGATAATTGGTTTCATTTCTGTGGTTTCCTGTTCTGTTCCATTGCTCCACATGTCTACTTTCCTGCCAGCACCAGGTTGTTTTGATTAGATATGACTTTAACAGAGGTGAAGTATCATCCTGCCTTATTTAGGATTTTTAAAGTTTTTTTAAAGCATGAAAGGATATTGCATTTCATCAAATGCCTTCTCTGCATCTACTGATATTCATATAATTTTTAAAAAATCTTTATTTATTTATGTATTTGAAACTCAGATTTTTGAGCTGATCTGAAGCCAGGAGCCCGGAGCCTCCTCTAGGTCTCCTGAGCAGGTGCAGGGTCCCAAGACTTTGGGCCGTCCTCGACTGCCTTCCCAGGCCACAAGCAGGGAGCTGGATGGGAAGTGGAGCAGCTGGGACACGAACTGGCATGCACATGGGATCCTGATACGTGCAAGGCAAGGACTTTAGCACCAGACTTGGTCTTTATTCTTCATTTTCCCGATGTTATCTACCATGCTTACTGATTTGTACATTTGAACTATCCAAACTCCTTGGTGTGGGTGGGTGATTTTTCTGATGTGCTGTTGGACTCTACTAGGATTTTTGTTCACAGGGATATTTATACTTCTCTTTCTGGATTTAGAATTAAGGTAATGCTTAATTATCTTATGGAAAAACCTTGAAAGAATTCCTCCCTGTTAATTGTTTTTTGAATAGTTTAAGTAGATCGGGAGTATTTCTTTGGTGGAATTCGGCAGTGAAGTTGTCCAGTCCTGCACATTTTGTTCTTGGGAAGATCTTTATTGCTGACTCCTCTCAGCCTTGGTTATGAATCTGCTCAGATTTTCTGCATATTCATGCTTCAGTTCTCGTAAGTTGTATGTGTCCAGAAATCTCCCCATTTCTTCTAGATTTACCCATCTGTTTTATGTGTAAAACAGTTCCTGATAATTCTTGGTCTTTGAGGAATCAGATGTTAACATCTCTTTTTTTCATCTCTGACTTGATAAAAATAATAAATTTGGGTCTTCTCCCTTCTTTTATTTGGGGGGAGCGGGTCAGACAGGCCAACAGTTTATCAATTTTTAAAAATATTTATTATTACATGATGACCATCCTTATCTCTTAACAGTTTCTGCCTTAACATCTATTTCGTTTGATGTGAGAATAGCTGTGACTGCTCATGTTTTTATTTTCATTGGCATGGAATGTTTTTTCTATCTTTTCATCAGGTTGTTCATTTTTAGTTACAGCCTATTACTTGAATGGCAGCTCCTTAAGGAAGATTTACAAGTATCTAAAGAAACTGGAAACCTTTGAAACACAGAATAAATATATAACTGTACCAAGCATTAGTAGCTCATACAAAATTAAGGTAAAAAAGTTTAATGAAAACCAATTAAGTTATATACACACATCCTATATGCCAGATCACAATGTTAATCATATTTCTTACTGTATTTGTAGTCAAAAGGGAAAGCCACTGCCTTATAAAACCATCACACAGGCCATGATTTCTTTGCAAAGGACAAAACAGACCATGAGATCTATGGTTGACTGCTCATAGCTGATGCCTTCTTCTTACCTTTTTGGAGCACTTGGCTGTGGTTTTTAGGCAGCACTTTTTGTGGCAGGCATATTTACACACTGAAAAATAAGAATGCAGGGTGTTTAGGAGTCTGTAGACCAACAATAAGAACTACCAGGTTTTCAACTCTATTTTTGAAGTATGTTTTTTTCTCTAAATTTGAGACTGATTATAAATCATGCATATTCTTGATACTGTATTAAAAACTAAAAAGAACTTAGGCCCATCCTATTGGAATGAAAGAACATGTCTACTTTTCTAGCCCTTATATCCCTCCACTACTCTGGCAAGATACGTATGAGTTACAAATCTTTAATTTCACAAATTTGTGCCATATTCCCCCACATATGTACTCCACAATCTGCTAAGATGCCATAAAAACCTATTATGATTCATTGCATTGTTGTTAAAAAAAAAAACTCATTGAAATGGAAAAAAAAAATGGCCAGCACATTCAGACACAGGAAAGGCCTTATTGTCTCTGAGGTTCCAGTCCAGAGTTCTGAAGCAGTAGAGCTGTCATCTGGACGGTGAGATGAAGAAGTCTCACAGCAAGAACAGTCTCTTGGAGACAGTATAACAACGTAGCTAGAGAAGGAGTGAGCACAAAAGGGGGAAGTCTTGACATGCTGGCTGTCACTCTGCCACACCAGGCCATCTCTGAAAATCTAACTTATAGGGGTCTCAAAGCCAAGATCAGGTAGGAGAAGAAATGCCACTGTACCAGTGAAATAACTAGGACAATCACAAAGAAAGTGAGGTAATCCCATTGGCAAGTGATATCAAGCACACCTTAGATGAAAAAGAAAATGCTTTAAAGTTTCAAAGGTAAGTCACAGAAGAAATTATTATAAATCTGTAAGAATTATGGACCCGGCATGATGACTCAATGGTTCAATCTTTACCTTGCAAGAGCTGGAACCCTATGTGGCACCGATTCATACCCCAGCTGCCCCATTTCCAGTCTAGCCCCCTGCTTGTAGTCTGGGATATCAGTGGAAGATGACCCACAGCCATGGGAGACCTGGAAGAAGCTCCTGGCTACTGGCTTTCGGTCAGCTCAGCTCCAGCCATTGAGGCCATTTGGGGAGAGAACTAGCAGATGGAAGATCTTTCTCTATAAAATCTGATCTGCCCTTCCAATAAAAATAAATTAATCTTTAAAAAAGTACAAGAATCAGACTAATAATATATAGTCAAGTATATTTCCAAAGTGTATTTCAAACTACTTCCTAGGTTTACTCTCGTTAATTCCCAGGCTACTAATAAAAAAGATGAAAGGAAAACTGCTGCTGAACAGGAGTAAGCAGACACACGCAGAAGTGGTGGCCACCTGGCTGCAGTGACATGACATTTACCTGTGTCTTCACACTGGACTAGATCTCACTAATGTTGTACTCAGTTCTGGTCCTGCAATAAGAGCAAAGCCTTCCAAGATGACTCCAACATTCAAGCAGACACACAGAGTAAAGGGAATGAACACTAAAGCTCCACTGAGAGCTAGACCACGCTGATCTACAATCTCTACTTATACTTGATTTAAAATCTACTTATTTATTTGAGAGGCAGAGAGATAGAAGGATAAAAAGAGCTTCCAACTGTTAGTTTACTCCTAAAGTGCCTGGATGATTCAGGGTTGGGCCAGGCCAAAGTCAGGAGCAGGGAACCCAATCAAGGTTTCTCACACGGGTGGTGGGAACCCACTATTTTCAACCACCTGCTGCCCATCAGGATGTCACCATGGAGCTGGAGACACAGCTGGGGTTTCAATCCACGTGCTTCATTATGGGATGCAGGCATTAAGTAGTGCCTTAAGCACTAGAGTAAACATGCATCTACTTACATTATAGGATTTACATACTCTTTGGAAAGGAAACAGAAAAAGTACCTTTTGGCTATAGTGTAAGACTTGGTTCATTCGTTCATCTATTATCTATCTATCTATCTATTTATCTATCTATCTATCTATCTATCTATCTATCTATCTATCTATCTATCTATCTATGCCAGACAACTTCTAGGCTGTGCAGATACTACAGACCGCTAAGCTCTCTGACCTTACAGAACCTGAACAATAGCAGGACAGATTGATAAGAAAACCAAAAACACTTAATATAATTTGGGGCTTTGTTAGTATTATAAAAATACTGAATTTTTACCCAGATAAAAGAATAGAAACTTGTGGGACAGTGGGTTTACATAAAACAATAAGGAAAAGAAAGCAGTCTCTAAAGTGGAGACATGCAGGTAGAACTATGAACTCATACCCCGCAGACAGTGTGCTGTGGGGACCAAGTTGGATAAAAATGTTTGGTTTGATCGAGTACAGATAAACAACAGTACAGGGCCCAGCACAGTGGCCTAGGGGCTAAAGTCCTCGCCTTGAACGCACCAGGATCCCATAAGGACGCCGGTTCTAATCCCGGCAGCTCTACTTCCCTCCCTCCTTTGGCCTGGGAAAGCAATCAAGGACGGCCCAAAGCCTTGGGACCCTGCACCCGTGTGGGAGACCTGGAGGAAGTTCCTGGATCCTGGCTTCAGACCGGCATAGCATCGGCCGTTGCGCTCACTTGGGGAGTGAATCATCGGACAGAAGATCTTCCTGTCTCTCCTCCTCTCTGTATATCTGACTTTCCAATAAATCAATAAATCTTTAAAAAAAAAAAAACCAGTATGGTGAGAGATAACACTAAAGAACTGGGCAATGTGAATTATTCCTTTAAGTTAAAAAAGCTGTAAGGTTACTCAAGGAAACAGGAGAAATATCAGATGGTTTAAAAAAAAAAAACACGCCCGAGGTCTCTTACACTTACATTTGCAAACAGAGGCTCGGTCCATTATCCATATCAAAGAAGAACAGTATTCACAGTAGGTAGGGATGCTATACTGAGTGGCCTTGAAGATGTGACCATTGTGCTCTTCCACCTAGATGAAGAAATTCAGCCATTTATGTTAAAGCCAACACACTCAATCAGTGGGAAACCCCTGAATCCCTTGTTGAGCCTTCATTAGGTACTCATTCCAGTGGGAGAACTATATTCTGAGAAATAACAAAAAATAAAATATATGGTCCGTGCTTTCAGAAACCAATATAGCCAACTGATATGTACTAGAACTTGACAGCTGTCTCAGGAGACTCAATCAAACAGCAAATCAAGAGTAGCAGTTCTCAAATCTGCTTTTTACTCAGGAACAACACTAACATACTTTCAAAATTTTCATATTTTGAAAATTATTGAGGAGCTGCTGCATACATAGATTGTAACAATTTAGTATAATACAAAATAAAATTGGAATTTTGCTAATTATTTAAAATTAATCTTAAACAAATTACATATGACAAAATAACATTTCAATGAAAGCCAAATGTCTTTAAAGCCAAAAAAGTTAGTGACAGAAGGGTATTGTTTTACATCTCTTAATTTCTTAAATGTCTGATTCAGTAAGAGAAACATATCCTCATACCCACTTCTACCTGATGTCTCTTATAGCATACAGTTTAGTTCAACTCCACAGAGAAAAACAGCTATATACAGAGAAGTAAGTGGAAGACAGTGGAGTATCTTAGTAATTCAGAAACACTATCACACCAAATTTGTACAGATGGTAATTTAAACGCTAATTAAAATCTGACATTAAAACCCATACCAATGAACTCTTTATTCTCAGACATTAAAATCTATTATTCAAGACTTCTTTAAAGCAAACTTCAAGACAAAAAGATAAGCCAATGGCTTAGGAAAAAAAGAACTTGCAAACTGTGGATCTGAAGAGACTTTCAAGAACATACAAAGCAATGTTGCAATTCAATAATAAGACAACTCAAATTCAATTGATAAATGATGACCAGTTCAACAAAGAAGAAACACAAGCAACCAAATACATCATTAGTCATAAGGGAAAACAAACTATTACACTAACGAGATAGCCCTTCACATTCACTGGAAGGGTATTAATGGGATAGACAGTCTAGTGTGCTGGTAATGGTGTGTACCTCTGACTTCAGACACCGCAAGTGACTGCAAAATGCCACAGCCACTTAAGAAACCAGTCCGGCAGTTTCTAAACATTTTATTTCTTCTTATTGTTTACTTATTTGTTAATGTATTGCCTCTACTTGAAAAACAGAAAGATCTTCCATTCTCTGGTTCACGCCCCCAATCATCAGTCTCCAACATGGGAGGCAGGAGTTTACTTATTGGGCCATAATCCAGTTTCTCAAATGCACTAGCAGGAGGTTGGCTAGGAAGTAGAGCAGCTGGAACCAGAACTGGAGTTCTGACATGGGATGCTGACTCCAGCTGAGCACAACAGTGCTTCTCCCTTTTTTCTGAACATTTTAAACACAGCAGTACCATAGTACTTAGAAACTACACACACACACACGTGTGTGTGTGTATATAGGTACATATACATATATGTGTATATATATCCTAGAAAACTGAAAACTATATCTCCACAAAAAACCTTCTATAAGTGATAATAAACCTGAAATAAATGCTAAGAAACTATATGCAAAACCTACCCACTGCATAATTCCATTGACCTGATATTCCAGAAAAGGCAAACTGTGTTGATGAGGGCAGTGTCTACAAATCAACAATACTTTCAGGTGATGCAAATGTTTCTGAAGTATGAGTAAGGTGACGGGAATATGTGCACTTACATGAAAATCACTAAATTTCATACTTAAAAAGGCTGACTTTCGTGTTCAGTGAATTTGCCTCAAAAAAGCTAGTTTTTTTTTCAACAGAGGACACAAAACTTTAATAAATTTCTTATCAGTTCAATCCATTTTTTCATTTAAAGGAGCTTTTCTATTTAAGCAAAGCAAAAAAAAATCTCAAACCTATCTTGTACTTTGAGTGGACAGTGCGTATATAATATAGAAAATACTGGCTCCCTGATTTATTTACTCTTCCAAACATTGACACATCATTATGCATCACTGAACAGTTACATTCCAAATATTGCCATCCATGTTTTTAGGACATTCTTCATTGGGAAGCTGCCATAAGCAAGCAGCACAAAACTTCTCCAAAATTTTAATTTTTCTTAGAAGTTAAAATTGTGCCATGAGTGGAAAATAGTGTCATTCACTTCTGGTTAAAGTGACAGTGACACACCATTCATTCTCAGAAAATGCCTGCTAAATATCAAAGTCTGCAAGCTCTTAAAGTAAAAATAGTGTCTATTAAAAAAAAACTAGCTGGAAACATTTTTTTAAATAATCTTAGTTTATTAGGGTACAAAGGGTTAAGGGCTACAGGGTGAAAGTGGGTAATATCATTGTTTCCACACTAATATAATCATTTTGCCCTGTATCTGCAGTTAGGGGAGTAACAAAGGGAAAAGCCCCACCCTACCTCCCACCCATCCCCCATCCCCAACATGAGGCGCGCTCCAAGGGTCCTGCTCAAACAGTTTTGATAGTTCATCAGTTCTGGATTGCTGCCAATCTCACCGTCCCAACTGCAATGAAACCTATTCAAAGTCCACTGGCTGACAGTCTCTTGACGGTTGGGGTTCCAAGATCAGCAGTTCAGTTGGAGAGATATCCAAAGAAACTTCATCTGAGTTGATCCCAGATCTGATTCTTGAGTGAGTTTGCTAGTACAGACTCTAACACTGTTCATCACACCAATCAGCTTATGCATATGCTGGTCGTTGCGATTGCTGGGTCCGTTCGGCTTCCAGCCCTATCTTCCTTGTGAACCAACGAGTGTTGTAGTCCAGCTCAATTCTACCCACTTCATACTCGGTCTTCATGCAAACCAGTTGGAGCTGCAGCCTAGTTGGGGCGACTCCCCAAAACCCCTACCAGTTCTGCCCCTACCCTGGTTCCCATGCTTGCCAGTATGTACCGCAGGCTTGTCCAGTCTGTTCCACATCCCATTTAGTTCTCGCACACGTCAATGGACACTGAACCCTAGTTCAACCCAACCAACCTATTATCCAGCCCATACACCTACTGGCAGGTGCCTTTCTGTCTAGCTCCCCCTGCTCCTAGCCTGGGTTTCGTGCTGTCCAGTGAGGGTGGTAACCCTGAGGGAGGTGCCCACTATTTCCCTGCTAGGCCACACCCACTCCCAGATTATGCAGTCTCCAGGTGGTTTTGGCATTTGACTTGACAGAATTAGCTCCCAGTACCAGCCTCTGCCAGCTAATGCTGTGGCTAAGCCCAAACACCCCTCAACCCACTCTAATTTTAACTCGCACCAGTCAGAACAGTCAGCTCACCGTGAGGCCCACAGGTGCTATAGCCCTGCCTAGTCTGAACTGCCCCCATCCGTATTCACACTTTCCAATGGAAGTAGTTATCCAGCAGGGGTGCCCACATTCCCCTGTCGGCTTTGCCTCCTCCCCGATTGTCACATGTGCTGTTTGTGTGCTGCAACCACATCTGGTACGGCTCATCTCACCTTGGCATTACTTGTTGTGTACTGGTATGTGTTGCAACCGAACCTGGCTCGACCTGTACTCTGTTCTGGTACTCGGATTCACCAGAAGGTAATGTGAACAGATTCAGGCTGGTCTGCCCTCAACCCATGCCATGTGTATGCCAGTGGGATAATTTTCATAGCCTGTTCTGGGTTGTTCCCTATTGTGCTTCTTGCGCTTACCTGCATGGGACTGTGTCCTGCCAGAGAAGTTGCCCAGGCTCCTCCACCAGAACCTCTCCCAATGCCAGGTTTTGCGCATACCAGTGGGTCCATGAGCCAGCACTACTCAGTTCGCCTCCTATCCTAGGAGGAACAGTGGCTTTCCCTGACTGGCCTTCAACCCAAGCTGGTTCTTGTTGTTGGATATTTCAACCCAGCCATGGCTCTTCCATACCCCCACACAGCTCACACATGGTTCAGTAAGGGCTGAGATCTAGCCTAGTCTGTCACACATCTCTCCCCGGTCCTTCAGAACACCAGATGGTGTCGGAATCTGGCCTGGCTTGGTGCTTCCCGTCCCAGTCCACACTTGTGCCAAGTGAGATTACAATCGTACCCTGATCAGAATGCAGCCTCAGTTCCAGCCAATGCGCTCCTTGGTGGGAAACTCAACCCAGCTAGGGTGTCCCGTTATTTCCCCAACCATGCCTCTTCCCTGCCATAGAGCAGGTGTAGGCCGGTGGTTGTACTGTCTCCGCTTGGCAGAGCCCCTCACTTGTCCTGGCCCCTTGGATGCTGTGGCTTAGTGCCTCTGCCTCACGCAGATCAGTATATGCAAGGACCTACATGGCATGAGCTGTGCTCCAACCTGATTTCTGTTGTTTCCTGTGAGTTAAGGTTTGTTCAGCCCTGCCCATTCTGCCCCCTTCCAGTGGCAGCCCGGCCCACCCCACATCCTGTTTAAAGATGCACATTTGGGTGCTGTTGCCTTGACCTACCCTGACTGTTGTGGGTTCCTTTACCCATGAGTGATGGCAGGTGGCATGGTCACACCTAGCTTAGACCATTGCAACCCCAGCTTGAGAGCTAACCCGGGGGACTTGTATTCCAAAGGGTTGGGCCCACACAACCCCACAGAGTCTACCCCCAGCCCAAGTTCTCTTGCGTGCTGGATAGTGTCTTGATCCTGCGAAATGTGACCACTCCACCACTCCAACACTCAGTCGGGCAATGGTACCCAACACTGCCAAAGAGGCCCCCATCCATAGCTTTGGTGTGGGCTGGTGTGTGGCAACCAGTGATGTTCTATACTAATATCCATTTCTATATTCATAATTGAGCTGTTGCATCTGTCTTACTGAAAATTATCTTCTGGATACTTCCCTAAAACCACTAGGTCTTGGTCCCCTCGCATGCTTAAATCTTTCATGACAATGCCACTGAGAATACCCAAAAATTCACTTTGCACCTACACTCAACCTAGTCTTAGTCATGAGTGACCCCAGGCAGCAACTACATATCTTGAAAACCCCAGAGTTCGCC